CTTAAGAACTTTACTTGCTTTTCTTTTTGTAGGAATCATAAGCTTTCGGCAATAATGAAAAGTACGGTGCGGAGTTGTTGAGCCAGCCGAAGTTTGATCCAAAGGCATGGACCGAGGCCATTGGAAAGACGATGAGTACTTGGACTCAAATACATGAATTTGGCACCTGAGTCCCTCCTTCGAGACTTCTGGCTGTAACTGCAATATCTGAGTCTGCTTGTGGACCAAACGATACACCCCCCTGTGCCAACTCCTGTGCTTGAGCGCAAAGGATATCGACAATTGCTTAGAGATGTGAAGACCTGGATGGTAGGTTTCACTGATATTAAAGGTTTGTTGATGGATGTGATTGGCTCAAGGAGATCGTAGCCTCAACTAGATGAGTCCAGGCCTTTTCAACATGCACCATAACAACAACCACCCCAACCCTTAGTGAGATTTATCAACAGAATATTTAGATTATTATTAGATTTTTACATTTGAATAATTTTATTAATAACAATCTCTATTAGATTTTCATACTTTCTATGTGCATATTAGTTTGTTATATGTTTCTGTATCGATAACAACATCATATCATAATTTTATTATAAACTAGACAAATTTAATTCCCAAAATAAAAAAAAACTGCACTGTTTGTATTACCAATGGAATTGTTGATGGAGTATTAATGACAAATTTCATCAATTATTGATGGAATTACCAACAGAGTTCATACGCAATAATGATGGATTACAGATGAAATTAGATACTGCTAATGGATACTGCCTGCAACTTCAAAGCTAGTTTTGTCGATAATCCATCAGTACTGTATCAGCAATTCCTTTCGTAATTACTAATGAAATTTTCGATGGATTATGTTCTATCATTAATTACAAATGAAAATTACCAATGAATTTTAACTAGTACCGACGAATAATTTTACTGATAGAACCCACTTTTTACCGATGGAACTAGTCAACAAAAATTTGGTTGGCAATTTAATGATGGCAAATTTCGTTACCAACGGATTTGGCATTATCGACGTCTTTTCCAACCATCCGTTAACGGAATATTCCATCTCTAAATCAGTCGGTGAAGCATGATACCTATGGAATATTATGTATTACCGATGAAACTTTCCCTCGGTAATACCTTTTGGTTTTGTAGTGAATTTATCAAAAAAATTTTCATAATCAAACAAAATCAATAGGGAAAATGATAATATATTCAAGTGCAAAGTTTTAATCTTCATGGCTTCATGCTTTTCTAAGATCATGCAATTTGTAACATTTATCACACTTAGATCAATTTTGCATAATCAAAATTTGTTAATAAAGCTCAAAGAAGAATTATGCAACTAAGATTTTCCACCAAAGATACAAACAACCTTTAGAAAATAAGCTAAATCAAATAATCTTGAGCGAAATTCTTAAATTTGAAGCATAAAGAGGTTTTTGAGAAAGAAGTCACCCATTTTCATTTTGTGTGTCCAGAAAGCATTCGATCTTCAAATTATTCCTCTTGGTTCTAACGCACTTGATTTCTCATCTCTTTTTGCCTCTTAGAGCTAACAAGGATCATTACACAAAGGCTGTTAGACCTACAAGATTGAGACTAAGCTTTGTTACCAATTGTTAGAAGTGTTAGTTCAATGAATAAGTGGCAAAAATTTCTAAAAAAGGGTGAATTGGACTTTAGAAAGATAGAAAATGGAAACTAACTACCTATAGTCAACTATGATCGTGTCTTATCTCTACAAACATGTTTCAAAACTATTTGATCAAGTCTA